TAGCCCAGGGTTAATTTTTTTTCCTTTGTTGAAAAGCCATTTATCAGATAATTTTCTTTATTGTTTATAGCCCATCTAGTCTCAAATTGTAGACGTAATAAATTCTACTGAATTTTCTTTTAAAGCTTTCAGATCTGAAATCAGGTTTCACCCTAACCCTGGGTTATATAAACCCATCTTTAAACAACTCGCCCCAGGACTCGAAGTTCTCCTGGTTAAAAACAAGATGACTGCAGGGATGGTGAACTTACAGCCTACAGTAAGGCCCACGACTGACCGAGCTGAGGCTCAGGTATTACTGTAGATAAACAAGGCAGTTTAAACACCTAGCGCCGGAGAACAACATCCGTAAAACTACTAAAAAGGAAACGTAACTAATGGCAAAGACAGGCAGAACCGAATCTCTCTTACCTTGAATCCAGGGGCCAGAATGATTGATTCTGGAGGCTTTTTAGTATCAAATGCATTCCAGTGTGGACGCAACTGCTGATCCAGTTCGCGCAACTCATTAATAGTGTAACCAGACCCCACCTATGTGAACAAGATGTGACAGGGCTACTTATAAAACAATGCGTAAATTTATATGGCGCACCATGAAAAAGCACTGCACCTTCAATTTCTCGAGATTTAATAGAAACTCTTGATTTTAAACAGAGATAAGGGTGAAAATGTATTGATATTGTTTTACCAACCTCCACTTGAAAAAAAAAATGTTACCTTGCAGAAAGAATGGAACACTTTGGGATGTTCACCTGGAACGTTGGAAGGAACCGCCACTGCACACATAAAGTGAGATGTCATTCCACTTCGGCGCTGCAGAGAGAAAAAAAAATTCCCATCATGAAAACATCATCAAGAAGAATTTTTTAAATTTCCACGTGTTTTTTCTCTTTTCCGTTTCAAAAGGAACTTTAAACGAAAAGTTCCCCTTGACTCAGAAGAAGTCAAACAATCCCACAAGCGAGCTAATCAACAAAAGCGTGAATGTCTAAAAAGTTAGGGGAATACCCAACGAAACAACGAACCAACACACTACCGTAATTCTGCACAAAAATGATCGAACACACAGACGAAAGAACAGGCGAACAAACGAACACGCAAATAGATATACTCACAGTCAAATAAACGAAAATGAGCTAGCACGAAAGACACGAACACCGTAAAGAGTAAACTGTGAAAAAAGTGCTGATGCTAACGAGGTGTCTAAAGAATGACCACACACAACATAATTTACAGTCTACTGACCCCAACTCCAAAATAGCCACCAACAATGACGAGATCCAGCTGAGATCAAATAAAAAACGTTTTAGTGTATGTTCTGACCAAAAAGCCAAGACATAATCAAACTCGGTTTGTCGCATCGACGATAAAAAATTCTAA